TGCTTGTTTTCCATGGTGCCCCAGCACTGACTGGAGCCACTGTGGGCACCTCAACCCAGCACTGACTGCCTAGAGCAGGGGTCCTCAAACCCACAGGCCACATGTGGCCTGCCGAAAACATTTGTTTTTTTTACTTCAAAATAAGATATGTGCAGTGTGCATAGGAATTTGTTCATAGGTTTTTTTTTTTTTTAAACTATAGTCCGGTACATCCACACAAAGGAATACTATGCCACTGTAAAAAAGAAGGAACTCTTACCATTTGTGCACGTGACTTGCAGTCTTGCAGCCACCGATCTACAGAACCGTGACCCAGGGGACTGCCTCGAGGATTACCCCCGTGATCCACATCTTGTCCCCGACGCTCAGTGCGTACTTGGTCAGCATCGGTTTCCATTCCCTGCCATGCCTCAGTCTGACCCCAGAGTAGTTGAACTTCATACTATTATTTAGAACAACTCTCTACCAAAACAAAGCAGAAACTTGCCCAAGAAGCTTCAAAAAACAAACAGCTGAAGAGCACAATTAAGACATCTTTTAAAAGCATCTCAATAGCTTCTGGGAACCCTAGTCATCTTTTTCTCCTAATTTAAAAAGAAATCCAATCCCTTGGTTTTGTTCTCAGCTATAATGTGACTTGTCTGGACTGGGACAGCTGCCCAAGACCCATTAGATTAAGAACTGATGGCTGGAGCCCAGTGCAAAATGCTGTCTGTAAAGTGTTACCGCCTTCCCTCCCAAGGCGTGGGCAGGGGCAGGAGCGGGAGGGAAGGGCATTCTGAAGAGTCTGAGAGCTTTATTGTTTATTGTTTCCTTTAACTTTTCCTTTTAAGTCACAGTTTCCCCCCAAAGAAACATACCTCAGAAGCCCAGTTTAAAACACGGATAGAAGGGGAACCTCCAATGGTAGTGAAAGGGGTGGCTGGGAGATCTCCTTGGAAGTCCCTGGGAAGCCCTCTGCTCTGGGATGAAACCAACCATCACGTCCAACCTTCTTACTTCCCACGTGAGGAGCAGGGGGTGCCGGAGAAGGGGGCAGCCTCCACAAAGGCAGGCCCTGCAGGAGGTCAGGTGCCTGAGGAAAAGGGCCCATCCTCCACATTCCGAGGCAAGATTCAATTGAAGAAACTCTGCAGGGGAAGCCACAGCTGCCAAGTGGAGCTCAAACAACAAGCGTGGAGGCTTGGGGAAGGCTCAGCTTCAAAGGCAGCTTACAGACAGGCAGAGAGAGGGAGAGGTCTGGGGGGACACAATGGAGATGAGGGGAGAGAGCAGGAGAGAAGACGGATGACGTGGCATCGATGAAGCATGTTCTCTTAATTCTTAGCAAACACCCTCCGTGCTCTGCGCACCCGCACCAGAAGGGAGAGTTGCCTGGGGGATGGGTGCAGTCCTGAGAAGCAGTGCTCCCTGGAGGCAGCAGGACATAAGGTCTTTTAACTGCATTAGGAAGATCACGAGGCATGGGCGGGAGAAGCAATCAGGAGGCAAATCTGACTTACTTTAATGATAGCAGTAATAATAGTAATAGTAATAATAATAATAATAATAATAATAATAAATATTCTGAATTATTTAAAAATAAAAATATGCTCTTAAATGTAGGGCCTGCCCTCTTTGGGCCAGCAGCAGTCAGGACCTTTTTGCAGGAAGTAGAGCCATTGGGTCATTTAAAGAAAACATCCCCTGTGTCTCATCCCCATGGCTGCTGACACCCCCATCAATGCCACCCATCTTGTTCTCTGACGTTAGAGGGTGTGTACTATTTTGAAGGTAAACAGTTACTTATCATCTCATAAAATAAAATAGGGAACTGTTATGACATTCATTTTAATGCACCCTTACCTGGTAGCTTGACCCTTAAACAGAAGTATGTCATATTTCTCCTGGGAGCCAGCAGTATGAATATGTCTGCATACGCATCGCCGGTACCTCGGTACCCATAATCTTACGGCAATGTTGAGTACAACACATCAAGTTGCAAAGTTTGACAAATAGGATTGCTTCGCCATCTAAGAATCCATTTTCTAGGCGGACCCAACAAGATACTGTTGAACAGATTTCTGGTTTGAAACTGCTCAGCCATTTAAAGCTCGCTGACGGGGAGAAGGGAAAATGCCTAATTCTGTCACTGGGGATTTGGAATTTTAACCGAGCCAAACCCAAACCAGCGCAAACCGACTCCTGCAGGGAGCGACCTGCACCAGCCACAGTGGGTCCTGCCAGCACACGCCCCTCCCCAGCCAGCAGCTGTTTCTGGAGAGATGGCGAGAGTGCGATTCGACCACCAGAGGGCAGCAGAGCCAACACTTTTGCCCTCTTTAGGCTCCAAACGGCCATTTCATGCTGCTGCTGAAGTAAAACAAAGAGATGTGCCCTTCTTCCCATCAGTAGGCACTGGACGAAAACAGGACGGGTCTGAAGAGCCACAAAGGACTCCCTGCAGCGTGGCCCCAGCCAGCATCGCGCCTGCCTACCTGTGGAGGAGAGGACTACGAGGGGATGAGGCGGAAGGATGCGTGGAAACCAAATTCGGAGAACCCTGACGGCCCACAAATGGCTTGTTCCCCACGGAGGGCCAAACATGAGGTGATAAAGACCAAGTACCAAGGCAGACGCATGCTGAGGACAGTGGCCTCGAGAAGGCAGGCTCTACTGGCATCAATGTGGCCGGCTCTAGTCCTGCAGCCATGCAGAGGAGGAGAGATTAAAATAAACTTCCACGTTCCTCAAGCCCAGGCTTTATCTTACACACACCTCACATGCGTGCCCCCGCATGCACATGCACACACACGCACACTGCACGAGGGGTTTATTTCAATTCCATGTCCTTGTAGCCATTCCCTATAAATTAAAAATTTCTTTAGAAAGGATATCAAATGAAAACGTGGGTGATCCATAGCTTCTGGCTTGCGTCTCAAAGGGTTATGCAAATGTGGGAATGCTCTAGGTTTTCCTGGCATCACCTAGCTTTCTTTAAACGAGCCCTTTATGAAGCCAGACAAGAACTTTGATTTCTGGAGCACAACCAGAGCTGGAAGTTCCTGCAGCTTTTCTCTGTCCCTCCGCCCCCTCCAGGTGTGTTTAGAAACTGAATTGTATGTGATAAGCCAAGAGAGAAGCCAGCCACACTGTCAACTGGCGATTTTTGTTTGAGTCTGAAAGGCTCATCCATTATCAGGACAAGAGAAAAGAAAGAGGCGTGGTTTTTAAGCAAGAAATCGGCCTCACAGAGTTTCAGCCCGTGGGGAGTCCAGGCTTACTTTGGAGATGCTGTGGGCCCGGGGCCAGACCATCGCCATCCAGCCAGTCACCACCTTTCTGCTGGTGGAAGGTCTTGCCTTAATTTGCAAAAAACGAAACACCTGTGAAGTGTGGTAAAGCGAGGCGTGCCTGTATTGAAGAAATCTGTGTTGAGTGAGGGCAGGGGGAGGGGACTGTGGAAATTGCTTTCTAGCTCCCCCCAAGTGAACATTACACTGCGATTTTATGATGTTGTGTAACACACATTGCAAGAAGAAAAGACATACCTCTGCCCCAATTTCAGTAAAAAGATGCTCCCACTTCAGATGGGGATGGTCTGAGGTCATTCACACTGTGGTCTGCTTCCTTCTGCTCCCAGTGGCATCAGACCTCGTTAAGCAGGCAGAAGCTCAGACCCCGCCCCAGACCTGCCCAATGCAAACCCGCCTTTAACAAGAGCCCCTCCCCCATCCAACAGAACAGCTATTTAAGAAAAGATTCCACTGGGTGATGCTCAGTGGAATAGATTTATTGTTCCACCTCCAGAGTGAGGACGTGCAGCTTAACATCAAGTGAGGGGCTAGAAAATTATGCTGAATTGAGGTTAAGGACAAAGAGATCCAGTTAGTCAAATCCCACAGAGTGAATGTTTTTTAAAAATGGAAATGTGTGAAAAAGTTCCCAAGTGCAAGGTTTCTTGTTCCATTGCATTAGATTCTTAGGGCTGCCCTAACAAATGCCCACAAGCTGGGGGCTTACAACAACGGAAATGTATCACCTGACCGCTCTGGGGGTCAGAAGTCCAGAATCGAGGCGTCGGCCACGTGTGAACAGGGCTGGCTCCTTCTGGAGGTTGTGAGGGAGACTGCTCTCCAAGCCTTTTCCCGGCTTCCGGACATTGCTGCCACTCCCGGGTGTCCTTGGCTTGTGGACGCATCACTCCAATCACTGCCTCCTTCGTCAGGAGGCCTTCTGCCCGCATATCTCTCTCTCTCCTCCTCCTCTTACGTAGCCACCAGAAGAGTGGGATTAAGGGCCCACTCTTCTCCAGTATGACCTCATCTGAATTACACCTGCAATGACTCTATTTCCAAATAAGGCCACATTCCAAGGTTCTTGAAAGGACATGCCTTTTGGAGGGAACACTATTCAACCCGATATGTCCATCCAACAAGAACAAATGGCGAGTGTCCCCAGTGGGGATCATGGAGAGCTGTCACAGCCTGAGATGCTGTGTTTCCAGCACGCCCCATGCTGGCCATGGACCCCACCTAGAGACTGCAGGGAGGAGGGGCCTGGGAAGCTGCGGGGAGTGGTCAGGCCTAGCTTCAGATGAGGGGCTGCTGGAGGACGCAACCAGCTATTTCCCGACTCTGATCTGTGGTCTCCTCCGATCCTGAGGGTGACAGGTGAGCCACAGGCAGGAACGTGTATATCCTGCTGCTCAGTGTTACACCAGAGCTTGGTGTCAGGGAACTCCAGGTTACTTGATCTAGAAACACAAAGGATGCTGCCCTGTTTTCTTCCTAGGCAATGACAGTGGCGGTGAGTGTGAGAGGACAGAGGTCAAAACAGAAGCCAGGCTGAGATGGGGACCCAACTGAGAAAGGAAAAAGACTTTTTTTAAAAATATATTTTATTGATTTTTTACAGAGAGGAAGAGAGATAGAGAGTCAGAAACATCGATGAGAGAGAAACATCGATCAGCCGCCTCCTGCACATCCCCCACTGGGGATATGCCCACAACCCAGGTACATGCCCTTGACCAGAATCGAACCCGGGACCTTTCAGTCCGCAGGCCGACGCTCTATCCACTGAGCCAAACCGGCTTCGGCGGAAAAAGACTTTTAATTCTGTAGACACTGACAAACACACACCTGAGATAGGGAGGGGAGGGAAGTCCAATATTGCATGCGATGCCAGGTTGAGAGTCCAAAATTAGACAAAGAAAAAGAAGTTGAGAAATGTGGCTGGAGACCCCTGGGCCAAAGGGCAGTAGCTCTGAGGCTGGGGCTGGTATCCATGCATTTGTTCCCTAGGCCTTTATTGGAAAACCTTCCCTGGACAGACGTTTGGGGCATGAAGTAGTGCCGGGGAGAAAGCACAGTGTGTGCAGGGAAGGTGAGAAGTGCATGCAGGGAAGGGGCTGGAGAGCCATGTTGGCGTGGAGAGGGTCAGGAGGGCCCCACGGACACGCACTTGAGCTTAAGAAGACAACTCACACTTATCACAGGCCTCAACCAAGGGCACGTTGCCTTTACTTAATTCCACGGGACTTGTTTTCTCCAACAATACTTGTGTCAACCATTTGGCCATTCTTGCCTAAAGTAGGAGTAAATAGATCTCCATGCACCATTAGTTTCTCCTTTAAAGACTCTTTTAAAACTGGTGAAGTGTCAGTTTTCAAAAACTATGTTTCCTCCCGCCCAAACTCACAGGTACAAAGGATTTAAAGGCAATTGTTCCATGGCCTTCATCGATCAGTTCAAAGCGCTGCACCAGTGTAACAAGTATTGTCAAATGCTGGGGCTGAGATCGCTTCAGAACAACAACCAGAAACAGAAGAAGCCAAGCGCCACGAAGGGCAAAAGTCAGTCGAACTCCACCACAGCGAAGAAGACGGCGTCCGGGGCCCCCGCAGACAAGAAGACCTAGCAGCGCGTCGGGACTAGAGCCGCGCCTGAGCGCCTGGGGGGACACTGGAAGCACCCAGGAGAGAGCACGGAGCCTGCAGAGGGGCCGTGACCACCCTTGTTCCCAGCTGCTTCTGAAGCCGGCACCGGCTGTCTTCTTTGACATGATTTTGGAGCCGGGTTTGTGACCAGACTTACAGAAACTGAATCTATTAGGGACGGTCCACCTTTGTATGTACCTGTAGCATTTTTACCAACCTCGAGTTCATGTCGATTTGTGTATTTGCCCGTGGTTGTATTGTCCGGGACTTGGTGCTGAGCAGGGTCTGTCCACAGCCCAAATCCTCCCCACTCCCATTCCTGACCTCGAGATCTCTAGACACTCCCAGCTGCTATTTAAACAGAACGTGTGAATGCCTTTATAAGGCCAAGTTGTCGCACTCATGTCGCATATGCTGTTCTGGCTGGAGGTGGCTTTTTGAAACATGAGGCCATTTCCCAGCATTATTCACACATCCAGTTATATTGTTCTGTTTCATTAAATTCATATTTAAATGAAAAGTGTGAGACGCATATATGAGCGCAGAAACTCGATCTATAGAATTAGCGCCCAATTCCACATTCCCCTAGGATTAGTAACTTAGTAATTTGCTAAGAAGTTTACTGGCCCACAGAGCATTTGCATCTGTGTTTTTTGATGAATCAAAGTCCATAGTTTACATTAGGGGTCGCTGTGCTGCACGCTCTCTGAGTTTTGACACATCTAATGACATATATTGCCTGTAACAGTATCATACAGAATGTTTCACTGCCCTAAAAATCATTCCCTAGGCTCCTCCTATTCATCCCTCCCCGTAAAGCCAGACTGTTATATAGTTGGAATCCCAGAGTATTTAGCCTTTGCAGATAGTTGGCTGTTTTTTAAGATGGTTTCAATGACTCCCTGATCATATCGGGAAGAATGGCGAGGCCGCTCTGAGCAGCGAGATCGATGCTTGTCAGGTTGGAAGTGCCTGCGAGTCACCTGTGACCTTGGGACAGTGCAGGTTCTGGCCTGGTAGGGCTGGCGGAGGCCTGAGATGCTGTGTTTCCAGCACGCCCCATGCTGGCCGTGGACCCCACCTAGAGACCGCAGGGAGGAGGGGCCTGGGAAGCTGCAGGTAGTGGTCAGGCCTAGCTTCAGATGAGGGGCTGCTGGAGGACGCAACCAGCTATTTCCCGACTCTGATCTGTGACACCCGCCCTGTGAGAGAGCCAGCCTTCTCGGGCGTGGGCTTCTCAGTGGACTCCTGACTTCTGCTCTGAAACACTTTTCTCCGCAGGCATGGGTTTTGATAAAGTGAGAACATACATGGGATTTTCGTTTGTTTGTTTTGAAAGGAGATTCGAAGGAGGAAACACTTTAGTCACATCTCACATGTTCAGTAATCTGCCACCGCCAGCCTTTCTTTTGAAGTGATTTCCCCCGGCTATGAATTGCAAAATACTCATTTTTCTACGAGGCAGCCTGCAGCCTGCTTTCCCCATACCAAAGGTCCTACAGATGTATGTAGCAGTGGAATTCTAGAAAGTTCCACACTAGCGAAAAGGTGCAGGGCACATTTTGATTAGAATTAGTATATATATATATATGTAGTTGTTCAAATGGAAAATAATACAATAGTTAATAAAAAATAACGTAAGAATAAACTGTGTTTTGTGTATTCACAACTGCAAGCCTACTGTTGTTCCACCCTATAGATACACATACATATATAATATGCATTTTATTCATATACTAGAGGCCCAGTGCATGAAATCTGTGCACTCGGGAAGGGGGGGTCCCTCAGCCTGGCCTGGACCCTCTGGCAGTCCAGGAGCCCTCAGGGGATGTCTGACTGCTGGCTGAGGCCCACTCCCCACGGAGGCGGGAGAGGCTTTCACCACCGTCACTGCGCTCACCAGCTGTGAGCCTGGCTTCTGCCTGAGCAGCACTCCCCCTGTGGGAGCGCACTGACCACCAGGGGACAGCTCCTGCATTAAGCATCTGCCCCCTGGTGGCCAGTACACTTCATAGCGAGCAGTTGAGCGGCCTTAGCATATCATTAGCATATTACACTTTGATTGGTAGACTGGCCGCTTAGCATATTAGCAACTGGGCACTTAGCATATTAGGCTTTTATTATATAGGATATTTGACCAGAGCCCTCTCAACAGACCATGGTATTTTCCTTAGTAATAATTTGCAGCTATAAAAACAATATTGACACAAGTGATTAGAAATTAGAAAATTATAGAAGGGTACAGAATGAAGAGTCAAAGCCATCCTGTAACTCTCCCCCTCTAACAGGTGTGCATTTGTCCTGAGAGACAGTTGAAGGGGAGGAGTTCAACTCTGATCTTGTGATTTGCGGTCAGCTCATGGGCACCTCTCTTGGATGGAACTGTCCCTCCCTCCTTTCACAGATGCTTAGATTTTTTCCTAAATGCCTTTACTGTTCGTCATAATCTGATTTTATCTGTTTAAAAACATTCGGAGGACAGACACAGCGGGCCACTGGCAGTGGGATGTGGCCCAGCCATGGCTCCCGGATGGCCTTTGTAGGCTTGTGTGGCCATCTGTCCGGCCACCTGAACCTTGACCTTCTGTTCTGAGATGAATTGCTGTTTTCCTTGCAGCAAATTAACGATGAGTGTGTGGTGAGCTCTCTTACCACAGAGGTGGTCTGCTGGGGCCTCAGGAATGCTCACACTCATCGCCATTGGTTGAGCTCACGTCCACTTTCTATTGCTTTTCCTGCTGGTCTGGTGAGTCTGCAGTGTCTGGAGTCTATACACACAATGCCTGCCCCACCCAGGCTCCCAGTGAGGATGGTCTGGGGGCGTCCAGCTGGGGATGTTGTACCTGATGCCTGCAGAGTGATCATATACTAGTACATGTGCGTCTCCATTTCCTAACGGGCTCACCACGGAGCTCTATGATAGGCAGGTGATAACAATAATGAACGGCTCATTAAAAAGAGCCTGTGTTTTCAACAGCAGCTTTATCACTAATGAGAATGGCAGCAGCCTGGTGATTTCTTGCCAGTGGGCACAGAGCTCTGGCGAGATCTAGTTCTGGATGCGGGGATGGCTGGCTTATGCTAACATTTCCCATGACCTTATTGTACCAGCGCCTCCCCGGCCCTGCTTCCGATAAGCCTCATAGTAGCTAAGGGTGGCAATAGATTCTTAATCAAAAGAATGTCCAAAGAAGTAACAATTACTTCTAATTATGAAGTGTTCTGTTTTCTAAGTATATATACAGTTTTGGGGGGAGGGGCGGGGGGTGTTTAACTGGCTGCAGGGGGAGGAGCTTGTCACACCCAGTTCCAGCTGGTGTCCTGTGTGTGTGTGTGTGTGTGTGTGTGTGTTCTGTGCTGCTGGACCACCTGGGCGGAGGCAAACAGCCTGGCATTTCTTCCCCGTTTCGATCTTCAGATGTCACTTGGGCTTAAATAGTTAAAAAAAAATCAAAGAGACACATGTGCCTCCGGCACAGGGTGCTCCAGCAGCTCCGAGGCCCTCTGAGAGCTGGCTTGTTCTAAAACATGCGTAAAGGTTGAAAGGCAAGATGATGCCAATTTCCAATGTAGTCACATGAGCACAGGTTTCAACCTTATGATGCAACAAACAAATGTTTACAGGTTCTAATTACCATGTGATATAATATACATTTTACTCTTTAAATTTGTCTGTCTCCTCCACATCAGAATAATCACTCCCTGAAGGCAGCATTTTTTGGCTTATGCACAGCTGTATCCAATACCTAGAAGATGCCTGCACAGAGAAGACCTTGTGATAAGCATTCATTCACGGAATGACTCTCTCTGACCCACCCTGACAGAGAGGAAAGGCATCCTTACCTCTGTCAATTTGGTATGACTGAAGTCTCTAGCATCCCTCAATACCTAGGCATGAGATTATTGGTATTGAGCAGGAAGTCAGCATGGTGAGCAGGAAGGCATCTAATCTCTGGGTCAAACAAACTGGGGCTCCTGTCTTCATTCTAACACTCACCAGCTGTGTGAGCTTGGAGAGTGACTTCATCTTTCAGAACCTCAATGTTCTCATCTGATAAATGGGTATATTGATACCTGTCTTGAAAGGTTGTGAAAATTATGTACAAAAAATAACTGACCTAGAGTGGCTTTCAATAACTATAAATCATTATTATAACTACTAAACTTCTGTATACTTTTTAGTTTGCAGAAGCTATTTACCTATAAATATCTGTATCTCATTCAAAACAGAGGAGTGAGTTTCATAAATCATTTTACTATTCACTAGGGAAAGTAGTAGGATAAAATATCATCGAAAATTACCTACAGCTATAAATGAACTATATTTTCTCCTATTGTTGACATTAAGAAGAGAAAATCGTGTCATACCATAGATTTACAGAATACTTTTTTTTTTTCAGAATTCAGGTTCCAAAAGTCATTTTACACCGTTTGATGGGTCCCTTGCTAAATAGCTTCTCTATTACCACCACTCTCCCAACTCTCTTAAGGGGGCTAGACTATCAAAGTTTTAATAATCTTGCCACATCTCTTAAAAACTCTCTTTCAAGCATCAAGGAGCCCTCCCTGCTGAAAACGAACCCCAAATTGCTGACAAGCCTGTCCTCATTTTGGTTTTGGCTCACTGTAGCTTTGATCAGTCGCCCTCCCAGCTTCCAGTTTCTCTTTCACCTCCCATCTTTCTGAAAAAGGTGGATTTTGAGAAGGACATAAAGGAGGTGACAGATCAGCAGAGAGAAGAAAGAAGGGCAGCCTCCACGGGGAGAATCTCAAGTCTGGAGGGTCAGCGCGGGAAGAAGACCATCCTTGGGCGCCAAGCAAACTCGCCCGGAAGCACGGGAGGTGTATTGAATTAAGAGAAAGGAGGGGCAGGCAGGAGCATGGATGAGGCAGGGTCTTTGCTGGTTGGTCAGAGACTGGGCTGGCTTCAGGTTGTGCTGGAGGCTTAGCCCTGGAGAAAGCCTGAGCAGCTAGAACTGGGGGTGCAGTGCTTGTCCGGGAAGGAGGCAGGATGGAGGAGCAGAGAGCAGGGCACCTTCGCACGTAAGACATCTCTGGTCCAGCAAGCAGGAGAGGCCCCGGGAGACCAGAAAGACACCAAGGCCAAGGGCTCGGAAGCCAGTCCTGGGAAGCCCAGAGTGGCCCACCATGGAAAGCAGAAGCGAGAGCAAGGCAGACACCTTGCTAGGTCCTTCCCTTCCAGCATCTGGAAGCTTCCCTCTCCGGGCAGCTTCCCCAGAGCTCAGGGAGGCAGGGCCCACCCTGCACACAGGCCACCCCAGCCCAGGGGGCAGCAGGAATGGCAGCACCCAGCTGAGGGGGGACATCCCGCCGTCGCTGGCAGCAGTGGAGTGGCTGCTCCTTTGCCCAGGATCACTGAGGCCCTTGGTACCGCTGGGGCTTCCAGGAGGTCGTCTGCTTTGTCATCATTTATGTCTGTATGTAGGACCACATCTGGAAGGTCGATATGGTCTTTGCTATTGTTTTCACGTCTGTGTCACAGGAAACCAATAAATCAAACAACCCCCTCACCGCCCGGCCTGAGGGTTTAAATGAGATGTGGTCCTGCGCCCATGAATCATCTTCCCCCTCTTTTTCCCAGTGACGGCTGGAGACAAGGGAGGAAAACCACTCCCGCCCCTCTAAAAGGCAAATAAGGCATTTTCTCTGAATTATTGGAATAATCCCCTCAGTTTTTACTTTTCATGGTGTATTTTTCCAGAAACTTCTTTTCTTGGCTCTCTCTGTCTTATCTTTCAGGTCTCTACTCAAGTCACTGAGACCCTCTGGAACCTACCCACCCACTGGCTCCTGACCTTGGCTGAAGGTCAGGGAGCTGCAGAGAATGTCATGCAGGGTCCCGCCCCTTCCCCAGTCTCCAGGCTCCCTCAGCTGCCTGACCCTCCCCTTTCATCCTCCCTGGATGGGAAAACTATGCCCTGCTTCGCCTTTGATTCTGAAAAGCCCTTCTTTTCTGGGGAGAAAGAATAACAACCTGTACTTTGTTTTGTGCTGTTTTCCCCATTCTTACTACAACACCATAGCTCTGCCCCCCACTTGCAGAACAGTCCATTTGAGGACGAGAGAAAAAAGATGCTCTATCCAACCCCCTCC